GCATAGTGTAGTATTCTTGCTTAAGGAAAATTTGCTGGCTATTTTTTTGTTGTTGTTGCTGTTTTAAAGATGAAATTTGGTATATTTTACTGGGGGAGGACACCATATTGTAAGTTGTTTTTTCAGTTTACACAAGTATTAACCTCATTCCTTTACGTAACAGGTTTACCTGGTACATTTAAGTATTTTGTGGAATAGTAATTATTTGTGACAAAGTAACTGTAGATAAACTGAAGTGTAGTCCAGTGAACAAGTGGAAAGATGAAATGTAAATTATTTACCTTCAACCTTTTCAGTACCGTTGACCCTTGAACAACGTGGGTTTGAACTACGAGAGTCCTTACACTTGGATACTTTTCAGTAGTAAACACTACAGGACTGCTACAAGGTTTGTGGTAGGTTGGATCCAGGAATGTGGAGAAACCATGAATACAGAGGGCTCTCTCTCTAAGTTATTTGTTGATTAACTCCCAGGTTGTTCAAGGGTCAACTGTAGTGTAGCTGTGTAAAAATATTTTTCATCTTTCAAAAGACATAAACTGGATGGTCTCCTTTATTTCTTTGTTCTGTGTACAGATGAGGAAGAACATTAGCGTAGTCACTTCTGCTCAGGACTTTTTGTCATTATCACCAGTAGAGCAAGATAAAAATCCCAGGGACAGATTAACTAGAGTAAAAGACCAGGAATCTAGAGAGTAGGAAAAGTGAAATAAAAAATTTCCCACCACTTAGCAGATCATGGCCTTTCTTTCACGGAGGTCCTCATCTCAGATCAGTAACAACAAGTAACTACAAGGAGAGCCTTGGAAAACCCGGAAGTCTGCATTGATTATTGTCTGGCTGAGTTAAATATAACTAGAAATTAATGTGTAAACCTATTTCTTTTTGAAGATTATAGATGAAGGAGTATAACAAATGTCACTGCTACATCTGTTGTCCACGTGAAAAAAGATTTTTAAGAGGATTCTAATAATAGTCTTGTGGTTTTAATAAAAAAACGAGTAATTTTCGAAATAAAAAATCATTCTTGTTTCAAAACAGTCATAACAGTAAGATTGTTTTATCTGTACTATAGCAAGTGGGAACATCCCCGTGTTACAGAAGGATAAGGATAACACCAATGTCAATGCAGACGTGCAGAAGCTGCAGCAACAGCTTCAGGACATTAAAGAGCAGGTAACTGATTCTCCATGGTGACAGTGACTTGAAGAATGGCATTTCATATTGTTCTATGAAATTGCTAGTGTTTTCTGTAGTGAATGTGGTTCATATTTGTGTATCACTTGTAGTATTTGAATATTTGCAGTAGGCAAATCTGATTAGATTTCATCAGGCACTGTACAAAATAGGAAACACACCAATGACCAAGGGTCAACATGAAAAAATGCTAAACCACAATGAGGTGTCTTTTCCGACTTATCAGATTAAGGGGGGGAAAATGTTAGGAACTGTCAGTATCAAGTGTTTAGGCAGAATATGTAGCAGCCATAATTCATACAGTGTAAATTAGTAAAACACTTCGGAAAAGATTGTCGTTGTCTAATAAAACTAAATAGGATATTGTTTGGGGATGCAAACTTGGAAAAAATAATCACACAGATGGTGTTTAAAACAAGGGTGGTGGGGTTTTTGGCTAGGATGGCTGGGAGGGGGCATGAGGGAAGTTTCTGGAGTACTGATAAACTCCATGCTGTAAGTGATCGCATGCATTTGAGCAGTTTGTGAACTTTTATTAAACTTTACGCTTATGATTTGTGCACATTTCTGAATAGACGTGATAGTTCAATAAAAAGGAGAAAAGGACACACACACACACACACACACACACACACACACACACCCACACCCACCCACCCATAAAGAAAAGCAAGGGAAAGATAAATGCAAAATTCAGAGGAGTCATCAGTGAGGGCTGGGGGAGGATACCTGAAGGAGCTTCAAAAGAAAGGGTAGAATTCCATGCTTTAAACTGGGTGGTGGTTATATTGTTCTTTATATCTTATATATACCAGCAGAAGTGCTCTCTTACATCTACTTAATATTTAATGAAAGCAACAGTAAAAGTAAAGAACTTACCTGAAACTTGTAGGTATATGGTAAGTAAGAAACTCTTTTCCCCCTTTATCTTACCATTTGACCCAGCAATTAAATCTGATTAAACTACAAAGATTGAGCAGCAAAGGGTGTTATTTCTCTAGTTTGGCCATCACATCCGTGTTGCCACGCAGTTGTTAGAGTCACACTCTTGTCTTTTCTATTTGAATTTATAAGAAAGTAACATAATCAATAGGTAGTGACCCAGGATACCTAATGACTCTTGAAATAACTAAATTAGAATTAATTGTATATATTTATTAGGAATTTAAACACTCATCTGAAATGATGAACAGTCTATAATTGGGCCAGTTTTTCTTTTGAAATCTAGCACCTAGTGATACTTGTTATATAGTGAATAAGTTAAGGTAAATATGAATTTATAAATTCTTAATGTAGGAATATATTTATCTCATTCTAATATAAAATAAAAAGTTTTAAAATTTTGAAGCTCTTTAGAATCTCAATCAGTAAAACTGAACGGTAAAACTGATTTTTGGACACATCTTCTGTGAAAGCATTTTATCTCTTAATTGTGAATTACAGTTTTTCTCTTAATGAGTAATGACATTTATTGAACCTTATTAAATAGGATCCTAAAAGAATAATTTAGCTGTACCTTTGTCCAAAGTTTACCATTTGAAGAAGTGTTTTCTTAAATAATCTTCATTACCATATTTCATCATTAAAGTATTTAAACATTTAAAACTTATTTTCTGTGGAATGTTATAATTTCTTTCAGCAACCTCTTCAAGGTACTAAGAGAAAGCATCTGAATAAATCTCTCTTTAAATTTTAAATCTCCAATATTTCTGTTACCCCAGTATCTCTTTAAAAGGCCAAAATTAATTTTATGTGCTATGAAGAGTGTATTAGTCTAAAGTAACTTAACCCAGGCTACACAGATGTGTTTACTTTTGGAAATAATAGTTATTATTTAACTACATAGACCTCTTGAAAGTTTAATGGAAAGAGACTATTTTAACCTAATTTTTAAAAACTGCTTTAGCTCTTTAAAATTAAGAAAATATTTTCTCCAGCTTTGCTTCTCAAAACTTTAAGGTAGATAAGTGTGAAAATTTTCTTTCGAAGAATGAAGCCAACAAGTTAGACTACAGTTCCTTTTTTCTGTTGTTTTCTTTGCAGTGATTTCTGGTATTGTCAAAGTTGGTAACTACATCTTCACATAGGCTTTGGGCCTGGTTTATTAATCTAGACATTCTTGTTTAATTATTTCATTTCTATATTATTTAGTAAAAGTATAATTCAGAATGAAATTTTATAGTATATTAAGGTAAGATATGTTTTTATAAATATAAAATGTAAAAATGTGCTTTGTGAGTGAATATGTGATTTTCCTGATAATTTCACAGAGGTATACTCCTAAATTGTAACTGAAGTTAATTGTTTTTAACTAAGGGGATCTGCAATGATAGCAATGCTGTGCAGCAGCATGTTTAAAAGGAAGAGCTCTGAGAGGGGAGGGTATAGCTCAGTGGTAGAGTGTGTGCCTAGCATGCACAAAGTCCCAGGTTCGATCCCCGGTACCTCTATTAACAGAAAAATAAATTAAAAAACCAGATTACCTCCTCCCCCTCAAAAAACCAAAACCAAAACCAAAAAAAAAACAAAACCTCTAAAAGCCAGAGATCTGGGGCCACGTGGACCTGAGTTCACATTCAGGCTTGTCTTAGAGAAGTTTTTAATCCCGTGAAGCCTCAGTGTCCTCTTTTTTGAAGTTGGAGTGATGCAGGACTGAGTGATGTAGATTGTATCATGTCTATGTGATGCTTGGCGTGTGTTATTAGCAGCATCTCTTCTCTGCTGCCCCTGATTCTTGTGCTATTTTCATGTAAGAACAGCATAGTACCTATGGTTGGGGAATCTGAGTCTCAATTCAGACTGAATGGGGCTTCCTGTTTCATATTAGATTTTGGCTTTTTGCGTTTTAAATTTTATATATGATTTATTGTATGTAATATTTTATATAGTACCTTTTATACTGATCTGACAGTACAAGCAATATTTCCATTTTATACAGATGATATTATAACTGTTTAAAAATTTTTTAAATTTAAAGCAACAATAGATTATTTGACTAAAGCAACAAAGGAAAATTAATGTTACAGTGTTGTCACGTTACACTTTCAAAATACAAAGTGTCTCAGCGTTTATTACTTTATTTGTATCTCACATTCCAGACAATGTGCCCTGTGTGTTTGGATCGTCTGAAGAACATGATTTTCCTCTGTGGCCATGGAACGTGCCAGCTCTGTGGAGATCGAATGAGTGAATGTCCTATCTGTCGAAAGGCTATTGAACGAAGGATTCTTTTGTATTAACTAAGAAACTCAGTGTGTTTTGTTAGCTAAAGTATTCAGTCATGAGATCTTAGCTTTTAAGCTAGTTGGAGGTTCTAATGATTAATTTTTAATATCATAGTTTCTTTACTAGAGTGTAATTTGACTATAAATGTACCAGACAACAGCAACAAAAAACTCTACAAAACAGTGTTTGGACCCGTGTTTTTTGGTTTTTGTTTTTGTTTTTTTCCTTTTCATTTGAAACATCAAATTCATGTAATTCATAGGTAATTTACCTTTGGCTTCTAAAGGGGAAAATCCTTTAAGGATCTCTTGTTATTTTTGTTTTTATTGCATTTTCTTATAAGAGAATTAATAAATTTGTTTGACCTTAAAAGATACACTTCCTTATGCTCAGCTGACTTTCAGTTTATCATGATTTTACCCAGAGAGTTGACACAGGTACTCAGAAAAGTCACGCATCAAATGAAAGGCGCAAGTCAAATCATTATGTCATGCATGTTAAATAATAAAATGGTAGTACAAGCTGTACGTGGTTAAGGGAATACTGAACAGGGGAGTCTTTTTAAGATAACGTACAGTTTATCCCAATGATTGTTTCTGAATTCTTAGAGTAAATGAAAACAGCGTGAGAGAATAATGACTTGGCATTTATTTCCTGGATTCAAGGAAAATTGCTTAACTTGAATCAGATTGCTAGTTTCAGTATGACTGATAGACATGAAAAGGAGAAATAAGCAGTCATAGTGGGGAATTGCAGGGGGAGGTTGTCCAATAAAAGAGTACCTGTTAACTCACCATTACCAGTTGCCTTTCTTATATTAATTAATACACTGTTTTGTTTAGCCAGCTGTTAAAAAAAAGTCTGTGAAAAGCGTGCCTCAGTTTCCCCTGTGATTACTTATCCAGACTTGATCTGACTGGTGAAATGGTATTGCCCTCTTTGGGGCTCTGAGGTTCAATTTAGCTTTTCTAATGTGCTGAATAGCAGCACCCCAGTGATCGGAGAAGGATAATGCATTGCCCAGAGGCAGCAGCCTGTCTTCCCCGTATCTGTTAATTCTGCCAGTGTTGCTCTTTCTGCCTTCATCATAGGCCTCGCTTCCGTGATCTCTCAGATAGTAGAGCAGTCTGTCTTTATATCTGATGATGAAGATATTATTTAAACTGCCAGCAGTATCCAAGACAGTACATAACCAGTGATAAACATTTACTTTAGAAACAATGACTAGGACATTTACAGAAATATGTCTGATTACCTGTGTGGGTTTTTTTTTTTTTAACTCAAACTTTGACTCTAGAGCATCTAATACATTTTTCTCCTTTGAATGAGTAGTCTCTCAGTAGTATGAATATACACATGAATATAAGTATTTTGGGGTTCATTGTTACTAGATTATAAAAATATCAGCTGTTCACGATAGTATCTACTATGTACTGTGTGTACATTTACTCCTAAGGATAGTTATCTTTTTTGCAGTTTTTTTCCCCTTTGGATCTGGTTCTTATTTCAATTTTTGTGCTGCAACAACTAAATTTGAAAGTACAAAATCTAGCCCTCATAACATCCTATTTCTGGCAATTTCATGGCTATGCCTTTGCAAATCCTGGTGAAAACATTGGTGCGCTTCGCTGGCTGACTATAGTCTCGGTAGTTCCATATCTGTGTTTAGCTGAGTAATTTACCATTTAGAACAGTACATTTTTTATAAATTTTAGATTTGAGAATTTATATTGACTCTACTCAGTTACGTAACAAAGGGCCACTGAGGCTGTTTTTTAAGCCATATTTTGAAGTTATAAGAAGATAGGACATCTGTCTGATGATGTTCATATAAAGAGATGGTTCTCTTTCAAATTTGGAAACAGTGAAAGTCAGGATTTTCCTTTTCTTCCACACCACAGGCTGCCCATCTCTCTTCCACCAGATGAACTTGTAAGGCGGGGGCACCTGGCTGACTCGTGCACCGTTTGGCCAGTCAGTATGGTCACGACTCTACTTGACTTAAATCCTTTTTATTTGTCTTCTGAGCCGCAGTGCTTAAACCTATATCCCTAAAAGGCAATTTCATCTTCCAGACTAGTTTATTTCCTCCATGTTAAAAATATAATAACTTATAAACTATGGCAAAAGTCAAAAGTCACTGTAATTATAGTGCCAGGTACTTGTGGATTTTCTGTGTTTGTACCACTTTGAAATTTGTTTAGTGAATAGAAAATGTTTCTCTATTCATGTTTTGAAGGACCTGAAAAATTATTTTAAATGTATTTTGGGTTTGTGACAGAGAATAAGATTAAGAACTTACTTGTTTAAGTGACTTTCCTCTAACTCTGTGAAACTGCTACCTCTTATTATATGTCTCAGCAGCACTTTCCCGACTAGGATGTGTCCTTGTTGTAATCATCTCGTTATCTTATGCCTCAAGAGAGCTTTTGCTTTTCCTAGAATCATTTAAAAAAAAAAAACAGAACCGACATGCATTCATTCAAAAACACATTTATTGAGCATCAGGGGCTAGATAACATTGAAAAAATTGTCAGTGTCTTAGTACATACAGAATTTATTATGCAGCCATTGTACATTTGAACTAATCTCTTCAAAAAGAAGGGATCTAAAAATACTGAGAACATTTCTCCCTAATGATTCAAAGGGTTGTCATTAAGTAGTATTTGAATTCCCTCTCTGCACCCCTCATTTCCTACATTTTCTCTTTTATTCTTCTAACATTGTCAGCTTTGTTACCCAAGACATACACACAACTTACCAGATGGTGCTATTCTGATAGTTTTTCTTCACATAATTTAACATTCTTACTGCTTATACTGTATATATGTTTAATTTTGTTGGGAGCAAGAAAGTTTTTCAAGAGACGATCATTTTGTATTAGTATAGGAATATTGTATCACACAAGTGTTTTAGTTTAGCTGTCCATATTGTACTTAGTTATTTGTAATTTTAAACATTGCAAGTTGACCATCTAGCTACTGAGGCATAAAATAATTGATAACATTGAAAATAATTTTCTTAAATTTATATCTTTGATGGCTTTAGCCTGTAAGAGCATTTTAGCACATTGCAATGCATGCTGCTTAAGGTTTGTCCAATTCAGGTTTCAAAGCTTGCTGAGTCATTTTTACATAGTAGAAATAGACTGTATAGTTACATGTTGCCCAGTTGCTGTTCTTGTTTATTATGAATTTTAGACCCTATTGGACTAGGAATTATTTAACTTATGAACTAGGAGAATTGGTGATGGGGTTGGAAAGGGAGGACAGTTGGGGATTGCAGCAAATAAGGAAGAAAAGTCAGTTTTTGAGTTTAGAGAAAAGGGGATCATGTAGATTTTTATCAAAGCAGTAAGTGTAGAGAGTATATTTAATTGAATAGAAGGTCTTTCAGCCAGTTTTTAATGTAGTTTAATTAACAATTGCTTTGGAAATTATAAACTTTAATACAGCTTGCTTTAGAAAAATTCAAAAGGAAAAGCTCTTATCCTCTCAGAGTGTCTAAAATATTATAGGAATAATTTGTATAAAAATTGAATTTTGGAATATAATTTTTTTGCATTTTTTTTATTGTGGTAAAAGCACATTTTTTACCATCTTAACCACTTTTAAGTTCAGTAGTGTTAAGTATATTCACATTGTTGTGAAACAGACCTCCAGAATTTTCTCATCTTGCAAAATTGAAACTCTATACCCATTAAGCAACAATTCCCCTTTCCCACCTCCCCCCAGCGGAATAGAATTTTGATTAAATCAAGAAACACGCAAATTATCTTGAGAGTTTGTGTTTGCAAGATCTAAAGTTATGGTAAACATCAAGTTACTAAAATCTGGAATAGACAGAATTTCTTACCCCTCTCCCAATTATCGTCAGTCATAATTGAGTAGGTTTTAAATATCTGTTAATTATAAGAGTTTGTTATTTCATTTCGAGCCAGAGGGGAGAAACACATTTTAAACATTAAAATTAGATTAGCTTTGAATTTGTGCTAAATTGGAAAGGTAATAGACTTTCACAAATTATGTGTGCCTTGTTATTGAAAATGTCAGTTGTCTTTAAGTCTACTTGTAACTGTTTCAAAATATTTTTTTCTCTCAAAAGGCAACCTGATTTTATTTGCTTGAATATTATGATAGGAATGCTTACTGATACTACTTGATAATCATATATAGCCTTGGAACTTTAACATATATATAAAACTGTAACAGTATTAATAATTACATTTGTACTTCTTTAGAACATTAAATTTGAGGAAAAACTGTTTAATGCTGTCTCATGTGTACATTGCTTTGCTACAGTGAGAGGGAAAATTTTTTAGATTGAGCCTCAATTTGCCGATAAATGGTTAATAGTGGGTCAGACCAGAGTATAAAAATATGGACTAGATCATAGAACTGATGAATTAATGTAACTGCTACATTGACATTTTCCACCTCCTTTTCTGTCAGAGTATTACTTTTCCAGCATTTATTCATGTTTGTGACTAAGAAGGAGATGAAAACCTGAGGTTAAAATTGAGATTTTTATTTTGCTGAGGAAGCAGTAGGTATAGAAACGGTGGCTTGCCACATGAATTTGGTGCCTAAATCCGTAATGACAAGTTATAATCGACACTTAGTGTGTAGGAAAGATTATATTGCTGAATATTTTACTTTTCTTGTGCAGTCTATTTGATTTTGTTTCATAAACATGGTTTCATCCAAAAAGCCAAATGGTCTTGTAGTTTTCTATAAAATAAACAAATGTGCCATTTTTGTCTGAAATCTGTAATGTTAGGAAGCTATTGAAAGTTCTGACTCAGGGCTTTTTACTACTTTAAGCAGTTGTTAATTATATTTGGGGAAAATCCATCTACATAATTCTTCAGTGCCTTGAAAGAATTATTAACTTGGCAACACTACGAAAACTTTACAGAGGGTGATCGCTAGTGTGCGTGTATCAGCACACACATGCTCATAAGCCGTGTTACTTAGCTTGTGTAATCGCAATACTGCTTGTGTGCTGGGTTTGGGGAATCCTTTAAAAGAAGTTGTCTTAGGTTTGTACTTGATATTTGTTTTTTCAAAAAAGGATTATTTATGGCTATGACACTGTTACCAGAAAAGTACTTCTACAGTCATTATGCAAAGTCGTGCGTAAGTAGCATCTGGGAAGAGGAGCCAGAGTACATACAGTTTGCTATTTAGTGTAAAAGGAGAATCTGGTAGACACATATTGTCTTCCCCTCAAATGAAAAAAAAAGATCTTTTGTTCAAGTGATTGGGTTAAAAAAATTTTTTTTTGAGAAAATCATGAATTGCATGACGTTCTTAATGCTAGTTAGTCTTACTTAGACTGAATCCACAAAATTGATTTTCTGTTCAGTTCAGTATGCTTGTGTCATTCTAAATACAGTATATTCAGTGATAGAAGTTGGCTTACGTGACTCTTAGCAGCATTTTGCTTTGTTTTTTTTCCCCAGTGTTTTTTAGCTTCCACTTGATTAAATTTAAAGTCTTGTTTGTGAATATAGTTTTTGTATGGCAGATGGGTCCTGCGTTATTAACTTTTGTTTAAATAAATGCTTAGCAAGAGCTAAGCTTTTAAAAATGAATGCAAACATTTACCAGTAATAAAGCCTATGATACTATATCATTATATAATGCTTTTCTCTGATCTTTTGAAACTACTCTTTATAGATGTATGCATGAATTTTGAGTCATATGGCATTTGAAAACAAATCTCAGTACATCAGATCTTTTATTATTGGGAAGGAAATAAATGATCATGCCTTTGAGAAACAAGGAAAGTGTATCTCCAACTCTGTGTGAGACGGGAGTGCCCACATCTGGGAAGCTCCCGTTGCAGTTGTTTACACTCAAGGTACCTCTGTCCATAGGGCCAAAGACGTTTTTCCTGTGTTAACACCTCATGTTCCTTAAGGATTAAGAGATATTGTGAAAGTAGTCTGAATAGGATAAACTTGATAGAAAATAAATCAACTAGTCATGAAGATTCAACTTCGTCTACAAAAAGTTTATTACACTTCACAACCCAGATGTAGACTTCATTTCTGATGGATATACATTTGAAAACAATGATTTCTTTGGCTTTGTTAGCATTTTGTGACTGAATCAGTAATTGAAGGTTTAGGGGGGTTATTTTATTTTTCAACTTAATAGAAGAACTTAGTTGTGAAGTTACTGAGAGGTTGTCTAGTTTTAAAGATTAAGAATTGTTATCTCGGATGTTTAAGAGGAAAACCATCTGAAACATAATCCTTCAAAATTGTTTATTTGAAAAAAGCATATGTATTCCAACTTTTAAATTGTGAATTTATTTTTGGTTAACCTCTAATTAACTGTATTTTGGGGGTTTATTTCTGTTGCTGTATTATTAGATATTTCATGGCAATATTTTTTATTAAAATTGAAACTCTGTATAGGTT